TCTTTCACAAATCAGAAAAGGGACTTACATGGTCATACTCCCATCTTGCTGACAGCGGAAGAGAGACAAGAATACTCTCTATTCTCCCTCCTGTCTTCAGACCAAATGTCGTTCCACGATCATACACCTTTTCCAACCATTACAAACAACATTAGATAAGAAGGTCATTCATTAGCCAAGGATTAACAAGAGATGAGACTGATTATAATACCAAGTTGAATTCGACATATCTTCCTCTTCGCAACTGTTGCCATGCCTTGTGCTGCTCTGTAAACTCCATGTCTTTCCTCTTCTCTACTATAGGTATATAAGCCGGTACCACTGAGTTCGCACATTCTGTGAAATCCCAAATCAACTACTTTACTCCACCATTAAAACTAAATCGATTATAATATTCATTAAGGATTAGAAAATTACCAGTGGAGAATGCAAGAAGCATTTCCTGATCATAGTCATTAAGATCGTCAAAAAATATCCCTCCAAGACCTCGTCTCTCATCACGATGCTGGCAAGCAAAGATCATACAAACAATAGGCTTATCAAAGACTCTGAGCTGTTCCTAAACTCTATGTTGAAAACTAAAACCTTCAGTTCTCGATAAATGCCTAAGAATTTACAAAAAGAAATCACTTTTGCATGAAAATTAAAGGCATACCTTGATGTAAAAGTAGTCATCACACCACTTCTTGAATCGTGGATAGAAAGAAGGGTCAAACTTGTCACACGCTTGCTTTTGAATCTACAACAAGAAAAGATAAACCTCATAAAAGAGCAAAACCCAACAATCACAAAGCTCAAATCTTTATAGCAAGAAGGAATACTGTATGGAAATGCTTGACATCGTCTTCAAAAATGTAAGCTGGTGTGAAATCAGTTCCACCACCAAACCACCATGACCTCGGAGCTCCAGGAACATCTACACTTTGACAAAAACACCAACTCAAGCTGTTGTCCAAAACAAAAGATAACAACTTTACAACTCTCACTGAAAGAATCTACCTTTCGGAGCATCAGTCTCGAAATAACGATAATTAAAATGCAAAGTCGGCGCAAACGGATTCTTAGGATGCAAAACCGAACTAACACCAGCAGCAAAGAACGGAACAGGACCAGGTTTCTGATCAGAAGCAGATCCCTTAGCTGCTCTATAAGCTTCAGGAGGCATCACACCATAAACCACAGAGACATTAACCCCTGCTTTCTCAAACACATTCCCATCTTGCAAAACTCTGCTGATCCCACCTCCTCCACCTGGTCGCGACCAAACATCTTCCTTAAATTTCGGACCGTTTTCGACAGCTTCGATGGCCTCGCAGACACTGTCTTGAGCAGCTCTAATCATGGTCTCGAAACGAGCTCTGACTGAAGATGAGGAGGAAGAGGAGTGAGTTGTGTCGTCAGAGTCTCTGAGGAAAGTGAAGGGTCGTTCTGTTTCGGGGACTTCTTTCTCGATTGAGACAGAACATCGTAAAGGTTTGGTTTTGATTGGTCGGGAGAAATGGAGAGTGGAGAGATTTGGGGAGTGATGGAGACGATGGTGGTGATGAGAGGTGAATGGAGCTAAGGAATGAGGAGAAGAGAGGAGAGAAGCCATTGTTTCTTACACGGATTGATCCGAATTGGATTTGATGTTTGAAGAAGATAAGAAAGTCGTCATCAACCACTGAACAAACCGGAGTCAAATCTGGATTTGGTTTACTCAACCAAATCAAACCAGACGGTCTAAAGTATTTAAAAACTCTCTTGTAGCCCAAAATATTGAGCCCAAATTAGGCCCAAACATCTAGCCGGGCTACAAAATGGTGATCCAACTCACGATATAGAAACAAACCACAGCTACGCTACGTTGCATGAGACGAAGTCACATTCACTTATTTTCATGTCCAAGAAACGTCTTTGATCTATTTATTCAGCAAACAAATTTTGTACGCCAGAAACATTAAATTAGATTAAAGCTTAGAAAAGAAATACATGATTTATTTTTTTTGGAAAAAGAAAAGAAAATCAAGGTTGTTAGTAGACAAAACAATGATAATATGTTAGATAATAATATAAATATAATAAAACATATGGAAAACGATAACAACATGTCAAGAAAAAGGAAATACAATAACAGTGTGTCAAAAAAAAAAAGGAAATACTAAGATAAGGCGATCCAGTTCAAAAAAAAACTATAAGATAAAGTGATTTTCCAAAATCTACATAAAAACATTTACATAGTAGGAATTGGATACGATATTACAATATCTGATATGATGAAAATTTTCAAATAATATTTACTTTTTTAAAAATCGATATAAAAAAATGTAAAGTGCATGTACTATATAATACGCATTCACCTCTCCCTCAGCAAAAGAAAAGAGTAACAAAGAGCGCACAGATTGCTTCCAAGTAGAGGAAAAAACACTTTCTTCATACTTTCTTCTTCGTTCGTTCTTATTGTCATGGTTACTATGCGTACTTATCCGCCTGGTTCACGCTTTCTTCCAACGGAGTTAGGGTTGGTGAAGGTTCATCTTAAGCTCAAGGTGGAGAAGAAAATTAGCGGTTTCATCAAAACGTTGAACGTCTACGGAGACGCGCCGTGGCGTCTTGAGCACGACACGAACAATCTGTATCCTAGAAACGAGTGGTACTATTTTGTTCCGAGGATAATAAGAGGTAAAAAGACGGTGAGTAGGATCGTACCAAGTAACGGAGAAAGCTTAGGAGGCACGTGGAAGTCGATAGGTAAGAAACAAGAAGTAAAGAACAGGCAAGATGTGTTGATGGGTTACAAGAACGAGCTAGTGTTCAACAAGAACGTAGTGGTTGATGGAAAGTCGAAGCAGGAGAAGACTGATTGGCACATGGATGAGTATTCCCTTAACAGGGAGGGTGTTGAGTTCCATGATTTGATCTTGTGTCATATCAGATTGCTGCATAGTGCCGAGAGATTCAAACCTGTAGTACCACCAGCTCATCATCAGGTGGTTGAGAATAACGACAGCAACAACAACGTCTTACAGAACCAAGATCAACAAGAAGAAGCTGTTGGCTTTGCTAATCATAATGACATGAAGATGGTAGAGACCAATCAACTACAAGAACAAGAGCAACAAGATTCACTTATTCCTTTGCAGAACAACAACAACAACATGGAACAACAGTTTCCGTATGCTTATCATGGCACAGAGGATGATATGACTACTGGCTATGATGGACTCAAGCAGATGTTTACCCAAGGCAACGGTGTCAATCAACAACAATATTCACCAGCTCTTCCTTTGCAGACCAACTTCAACATAGAACAACAGGGTCCGTTTGCTTACCATGGCGCAGAGGAGGGTAATATGACTACTGGCTATTATGGACTCATGGAGATTTTTAACCAAGGCAAGGTAGTCAATCAACAACAGCAACATGAGCAGCAACAAGATTCAAGGGCTCTTCCTTTGCAGACCAACTTCAACCAATTACCTATTTCATTGGATACTCGTCTTGTCCCATCTCAGCTGGAGAACCACAACAACATCATCTTACCGAACCAAGAGCAAAAAGAAGAAGCTGGTTTTGCTAATCAACAACAGCAACAAGAGCAACAAGATTCACTTATTGCTTTTGATGATATGATTGACGTTGATGAACTCTTGAAAGATTTGAACCAAGCGATAGAGCTACAAGGTTTTGCTTTTGATGATATGACTGACGTTGATGAACTCTTGAAAGATCTAGAAGATTCACCCCTTCCTCCTCTTCAAAGCAACGACAACCATGGACTGTCTTCTCAGCTGGAGAACCACAACAACAACAACAACACCCTCTTACCGAACCAAGAGCAAAAACAAGAAGCTGGTTTTGCTAATCAACAACAACATGAGCAACAAGAACAAGAGAGCAACGAGAACCAAGAAGATATTGCTTTTGATGATATGATTGACGTTGATGAACTCTTGAAAGATTTGAACGAAGCGATAGAGCAAGAAGATATTGCTTTTGGTGAACTCTTGAAAGATTTGAACCAAGGGAAAGAGCTAGAAGATTCACCACTTCCTCCTCTTCAAAGCAACGACAACCATGGACTCTCTCCTCAGCTGGAGAACCAACATAACAACAACAACACACTCTTACCGAAACAAGATCAACAAGAAGAAGCTGTTTTTGCTAATCAACATCCTCCTTTTCAGAGCAACAACAACCAAGAAGAACACTACCCTTCGTTGGATGATTATGGTTTTGATGTCTTGGATGATAATTTGATTATGCAAAATATGGACGAAGGCATGAAGCAACGATTACAAGAAGTGGAAGAAGAGCTATCACAACTGCTGCAACCGAATCCTCAAGCTCAAGACTCGGGAGTACGTGCGGATCAAGTCATGCCTAAAGATTGATACGATGAATCATAATTCTTGATATTTTATATGTAACTCCTTGCTTAGTTGATTCTATTTCCGGTTAGGTGTAGGGTTTCCACATTGGAGACTTGAACTCGTTTAAGTGTTTATTTTATATCAACTTTATTTTCTTGGTTTTCATGTTTGTTTCTTTTTGCTCAAAAAAAAAGTTTGTTTCTTAGGTCTAACTGGAGTCATGGAACTCGTTTAAGTGTTTATATTATATCAACTTTTTTTTCTTGGTTTTAATGTTTGTTTCTTTTTGCTAAAAAAAAAAAAAAAGGGTTTGTTTCTCAGGTCTAATTGGAGTCATGGAACTCGTTTTAGTGTTTGCATCATCAATATCTAGTGATTGGTTTCTCTTGCTTCTAATTAAAACGATGGATTTATCAATGCATGATCATTAGGGTTTATTACCTAACTAAACAGCCGGTTATCTAATTAGATTAATTAATTATGGAATGTATTCCATCTTACAAATTAGGGCTAATAGAAGAAGATAAGAGTGAAAACAAAGAGAGAAAGAATAGTTATTTCAGCCATATTGACTAACTTCGGTTTACTGTAACTTTAAATTCAATAATTCCGGTTTAGTTTGGCACATGTGTAGTACATAGATAATATCTACTTGGACTCTTGACGTCTCAGCTTGCGTTCAATTTCACGAGACGTCGGATTCGAGAAACAACGGTTGATGGTGTGTTTCTCCGTATCAGTCACCGTCTCTGACGACGACTCTGATGATTCGCTCTCTGTTAAATTGTCACACACGTTAGACCCACTTATTAGGGATATGAATATATATTAAAAAGTGGATGTGAGAGTTTTGGTTGCATGGAGCTTTTCACGTACCGAATAGTGACCTAACGGATGGTCTCTTTGGTTTTGTCTCTTTCTTCTTCAGTTCCGCTTGAATTTTTAAAATAAATAAACCGCAACATTAGTTAGTGTTTTGGCTGCTAATCAAGAATTATTTAAAGCATTTACTACATGTAAAAAGATTAAGAAACCTATTCCAGGGACTTGATAATCGTTGACGATTTCGAAATTTTTGTATGTGTAGCCAACAAAGTTTATGTCTTTTGAAGATAACATCTGCGGAGACAAATTAAAGAGAAAAGAGTGTAAGTGAAGTTACGTACGAATTTCTTCTTGTATTATTCGAAATGTTCAAATTCAAACTATTTTCCATAATTTTTGTAAAGAAGATTAAAAGTTAATTGTTCGATTATGATATATAGCCTTAGCTACTTATGTACTATTGGCTTATCATCATGCTTAATGCCAGTTATGTTATTGAAAAGAAACGGTAATGAAACTCGACTTACTTTTCTCCATGGTCCTGTTCTAGAGGAGGGTGTTAGAGTTTGATGATCTTCCTAAACATACATTAAAATAAAATAAAAAAATCAAGGAATATATATATAGCTTTAGAAAATGCAAATAAAAAGATAGAATAAAAACCTCATCAAACTTCTCAAAATTTTGAGTATCCAAATCATCGTTGACCTCAGGAATATAAGCAGCTTCCATTTGGTAAATCTTTTCCCACTCAACACCTTCGAACCATGGATGTGCCTAAAATTTTGTGGATTAGTTCAGTTCGACTTATTATGTGTTCTAAACTTCAACTTGATCAACTATTAATTATACAAAAAAAGAGAGAGAATGATACCTTAATTTGAGAGGCACCGAGTCGTTGGTTGACATTACACAAAAGCTTACCAACGAGATCTTTAGCCTCTCGTGATAGCCTTGCTTCCTCAGGGAATTTCAAATGTGTTTTCCAATTCACTATCTGGTTTTATATAGAATCATAAGTTTATAACTAATAAATAAATGATATAAAGATATCAAATAAATGATTTAGTTAGAGAAATTAAACCTTTCTACAAGTAGACATTGGGTCGTCGGCGTAAAACGGTGGATACCCAACAAGCATCTCGTACATTATGGCTCCTAGTGACCACCTGTTAATTTTTCATACTACTTTTCAAAGACTTGACATTTTATAACTATAATAAAAATGTAATTAAGCACGTGTGGACATACCAGTCACATTCCATGCCGTACCCTTTCTTTAACAAGACTTCAGGTGCAATGTAGTCTGGTGTACCAACGGTTGAGTAAGCCTGCAAGTGTTTACACCAATAACAACTACATGTAATACACCTTACTCAAAAAGATAAAATATGTATATGTTATATGATATTCATTTAAATATGTAATTTTCTTTGATACATACAAGCATTCTTCGATTCTTTTGCCAATGTTGCAACTGTTCTTGCTGAGAGCGTTTAGGAGCAGTTGATGTGATCTCTTCTCTCTCTAAGCCTCCTCCGGAGAAATCTTCACTTTCAATGACACTACAATCCAACGGCTTACATAGTCCAAAATCAGACAACCTCAAATGTCCAATTCTATCAAGCAATAGATTATCCGGTTTTATGTCCCTTCATCAACAAAACCAAAACATCTCAAAACACACACCTTCTTTAGTGATCAATAATGAACAACGCATATCCAATACAAACCTGTGGATATAGTTGCGTTTATGGATAGATTCAATAGCCAGAACAGCTTCAGCGACATAGAATCTAGCTTCATCTTCACTTAAAGTGTCTTTCCTCATCAGAAGAGTCATCATATCACCACCGGGAAGATACTCCATTATCAGGTAAAGATAGTCATCGTCTTGAAAAGAACAATATAGTTTCACTATACAGTTACTATCTACTTCTGCTAGTAAATTCCTCTCCGATCTTACATGCTCCACCTACAATTTTTTTTTTTTCAAAAAACTTATTAGTAAACCACGAATAAACAAAATTAAAACGTTATGTAGAACCTGGCCTCGCCGTAGCATTTCTGACTTCTTGAGCTTCTTCATAGCAAAAACATGACCAGTGTTCTTCTCTCTACAAACTCGAACCTCACCAAAAGCTCCTTTACCGATCATAGTCAAGAGTTCGAAATCATCAGCACCCATCTTATGCCTTTGGAGTCTCATGTACTCTGTTTCTTTCTTCTCAAGAAACTTTAAAAGATTGTTTTGATCTTCTTCACATACATCTGCATCTGCTAGTTTCTTCTCAAGCGTTGTTCGTCTGCCAAATTTAAAATAAAACCCTCTAATATGTTTTTTTGTTATGAACACAAGACTCTAATATATTTAAAATATATTTTTAAGCAAAATAAAATATTTAAAATAGAGTTAGGTATATACGTGCTGTATACTATATATATACCTCTCTTTCCTCTCGTTGAGATTCTTCATCTGTTCCTTGTAATGATTCTCAATGTACTGCTTGGCTGCAGCAACTTTCTGTTTGGTTGTATTAGAGAGTGTTTCTATAAGATTATGGAAAGTGTTATATATTATTAAGTTACAGAGGAGTATATATACATGTATCAGAGACGTAGACTAGGGTATTATATTTACAAAGTAGTCCTTATACTTATATTATCTATATGCCCCCTCAAGATGGAGGGGCTGAGCACACTCCAATCTTGGAACATGCATGCTGGAACTGACTTCGCGGAAGTGGCTTTGTCAAAGTGTCTGCTAACTGATCACGAGAAGAGACATGTGTGACCCGGAGCCTCCCTGCTTGAATCATGTTTCGTGTGAAGTGATAGTCCAACGCAATGTGCTTCATCTTTGAATGAAAAACTGGGTTAGCACACAGATACGTAGCTCCAACATTGTCACAATAGATAACAGGAGGGGATAGTAGGTGAATCTGTAACTCAGATAGAAGAGAGCATAGCCATGTGACTTCGGACGCCGTATTGGCAACTGCTCTATACTCAGCTTCTGTTGAAGAACGCGCAACTCCTTTTTGTTTCTTTGATGACCATGAAATGGGATTCTGTCCCAAGTAGATGATAAATCCATTTGTGGATGTGTAGTCGTCAGTATCGCCGGCCCAATCAGCATCAGAAAATGCGTGCAATGTAAGTGGTGTTTGCTTGTGGAGGAAGATACCATGAGACATCGTACCTGCCAAGTAACGAAGAACGCGTTTTGTTGCGAGCCAATGATCCTCCGTTGGCTTGTGCATAAACTGAGATAGACGTGCAACAGCGTAGGAGATATCAGGGCGAGTGAATGCTAAGTATTGTAGGCTCCCCACCAGTGAACGATACTGTGATGCATCTTTGAGAGGTACACCACTGTTGATCGTGAGCTTGGGTGTATTCGGAAGTGGTGTAGCAACAGGTTTTGCATCTATCATGGTGGCTTTGCGAAGGAGATCAGTGATATATTTCTTTTGAGAGAGATGCACACCATCTTTTGTGCGCTTCACTTCAATGCCTAAGAAGTAGTGTAGATCAACCGGATCCTTGATTGAGAAGCGAGAAGCAAAAGCTTGAAGAACAACATGTACATGGTGTTGATCATTCCCGGTGACAATAATGTCGTCAACGTAGACCAAGACATATGTGAGTACTTTGCCACTGGTGTAGACAAACAATGATGCATCTGCGGAGGAGTTTTCAAAGCCTGTGGTTAGGAGATGGCGTTTAAGAGACATGTACCAGGAACGAGGAGCCTGTTTAAGGCCATATATAGGCTTGCGTAGACGGCAAACGTGATGAGGACGGTCCTTGTCAATGAAACCAGGAGGCTGCATCATATAGACTTCTTCAGTTAAGTCACCTTGCAAGAAAGCATTGTTGATATCCAGTTGCTTCAGTGGCCAAGACTTTGTTACTGCAATATCAATAACCAAGCGAATGGTAGTTGATTTAATTACTGGACTGAAAGTTTCAGAGTAATCAACTCCATATCTCTGTGTGTATCCTTTAGCAACAAGACGACCTTTGGGACGTTCCTCTTCCCCATTAGCAAGATACTTCGTTGTAAACAACCATCTACATCCAATAACATTTTGTGCTTCAGTTGGCGGTTCTAGATCCCAAGTGTGATTGGCTATATGAGCATCAAACTCAGAGATTGCAGCCTTCCGCCATTTATCTTCTTTCATGGCTTGTATGATGGTTGTTGGTTCCATAGCTCCACGTTTCTTTCCTGCAACAGTAAGTGTTAGCTTTTGTATAGGTTTTGTTATTTTATTTTTGGCTCGAGTTTGCATTTTGTGGACATTTTGTGGCTTTTCAAGCACTGGAATTTCTGGTTCAGTGGGTTGTTCAGACGTAGCTGGTGAGGGAGTGGATTGATTTGTTGTAGGTGATGGCTGAGTCGTGGGTGTCGACTCATTTTCTTGTAGAGCAGTGGGCTCAGGAATAATGGGTGATGGCTGAGTCATTGGTTGTGACTCATTTTGAGAATGAGCAGTGGGCTCAGAGGTTGAAGAAGAGAGAGATTGTTGTGGGATAGAAGGCAATACCTGAGTAGTGAATGGCTGTTGGTGAAGGTCTGTGCCCGAGGGTCCCATTCTTGACATTGGTATAGTAGTGACCAGAGGAGTAGACACTGGAGTAGGCGAAGGCTTTTCTTGTTGAAACTTTGTTGGTTTGGTGAAAGGGAACTCTGTTTCTACAAATTGCACATGTCTAGAAGTATAGACACGTCCCGTAGAGGCATCAAGACAGTAGTAGGCACTCTGTGTGGGAGAGTATCCAAGGAAAACACACTCCATGGAACGAGGCTGCAACTTATGTTTAGTGTAAGGACGTAGCCAAGGGAAACATAGACATCCAAACACTCTCAGCTTCTCATAGTTAGGTGGTTGACCAAACAACTTCTGATATGGTGACTGCATTGAGACTGTTGGGGAGAGAAGCCGGTTTATAAGGTAGACAGCCGTGGAGAAAGCATATGTCCAGTATTCTTGTGGCATCGAAGCAGTGGCGAGTAGGGTGAGACCTGTCTCAACAATGTGTCTATGCTTCCTCTCCGAGACACCATTGTGTTGAGGTGTATGTGGTGGAGAGGTGAGATGACTGATACCGTGCTCTGAGAGAAAGGATTTCAGAGCTATATATTCTCCACCATTGTCAGAAAAGAGTGTGCCTATCTTTGCTTGAAATCTGTTTTCCACAAGAGCTTTGTAAGCTATGAACACTTCCTTGACGTCTGATTTCTTTTTCAATGGATATAGCCATGTATATCTAGAAAAATGATCAATGAGCACAAGGTAATATCGGTAATTATCAATGGAGATGATGGGAGATGACCAAACATCAGTGAAAATATATTCCAATGGTCGAGAAGAAGTGATAGAGGAGTTTGTAAAAGGTAACTTATGGCTCTTATTAATGAAACATTGAGAACAAGAAAGCTGTTTTTGAGTACTGGAACAAATAGGAAGTGAAAACTGAGAAACAATAGTGTTTAAAATAGAAAGAGATGGGTGGCCGAGCCGAGAATGCCACGAAAACAGAGAGGTTTTGGGGTTTGACGAAGTAACTAGAGCCGTTGCTTGAGCTTGAGATACTGGCCATTGATAGAGTTCATTCTCAGTCTTGCCTTGGAGTAATGGGACCCCCGTGCTGAGATCCTTCACCTGAAAGGAAGCAGGGAAAAATTCAACAGACACTCCATTAGTATTGCAGAGGCGATAAACCGATATGAGGTTCTTATCAACATCAGGAACACATAGAATTTTATTCAATGCTAATTGACGAGTAGGAGTTGAGAGAATAGAGGAACCAGTGTGTGAGATCGGTAAAGACGAACCATCTGCAATAAGCACATCATCTCCTCCGTTGTATGGTTGGTGTAAGGCCAGGTTATTAAGGTCTGAAGTGATGTGATGTGTTGCTCCAGAGTCTAGGAGCCAATTCGATGCAGTATATGGTGAGGTCACTGCAACATTTGCTCTCGGCTGCCATGGCTTGAAGGGGGTAACATTTGATGAACCCACTTGTGGTGGAGGTCCTTGAAGTTGTGGACATCTTCTTGCAGTGTGACCCTGAGTGTAGCAGAATTGACACTTGCCTAAGTAGGGTTTGGAAACCCTCTGATCTGGTCGAGTTTGCGATTGTGTGTATGACACGTTATCGCTGAAGGTGGAGGAGTTAGGATTTTTCCTGTTGTTGTAGTTGTTGCGGTGATTGCCGTAGGTGTGTTGCGGTCGATGTTGTACCGCATTCGCAGAGGTGGGGATGACACTGGATGGAGTGGAGTTGTGAGAGAGTAGTTTGGCCTCATGATTCAACAGGCGCTCATGTACTTCCGTGATACTTGGAGCAGTATCCTTTCCTTCAATCTGATCAACTACTGTCTTGTAGTCATCAGGTAATCCCTGAAGAATGAGCTCAACTTGATCCTCATGATCATAGGGTTTGCCAAGTATCGCAAGTTGATCAATCTTAGACATAGCTCCTTGTAGGTATTCATCAATAGTCTTCGTACCTTTGGTGTAAATCTTCAGCTGATCTCTGAGTTGCTTGATATGGCCACGACTGGGTTTGGCATATGTGGCAGCTAGTTTCTCCCAGATCTGAGAGGCTGTGGTGGTGCGAGACACAGTTGGTTGAATGGAGGGTGTGATAGCTCCAAGGAGAGCACTGTAGATGAGCTTGTCTTGTCTTGTCCAGTGAACAAACTCCGGGTTGGTAGTGACGACATCATCAGTTGTAACCGTCTGTGCAGGGATCACTGCATTGACATCAAGATGCTTTGATAGATCATAGCCATCTAACAAGGCATGAACTTGTAAACTCCACATAAGATAGTTTGTGCTTGTGAGTTTGGATACGTTCGACATGTTGATGTGAAGAACAGTGGTGGTGTTGTTGGTGATAGAGATCACTTCATTGGTGTTGTTAGATGCAGAACTCATGACGGCTGCAAGGTTTGAGCGTGAAAGATTTTAGGTCTAGGAGCAAAGCTCTGATACCATATAAGATTATGGAAAGTGTTATATATTATTAAGTTACAGAGGAGTATATATACATGTATCAGAGACGTAGACTAGGGTATTATATTTACAAAGTAGTCCTTATACTTATATTATCTATAGTTTCCCCTTCTCCTCCCAGTGGAGGAAGTTTAGCCGCCGTCTCAGTTTCATTTCCTCCGCCGGGGACGGTGGTTTCTTTTCCGCCGCCGTAAGTGCTACCGGAGAACATATCTTTTTTACGAGGCTTGTCTCGAGGTTGAAACTTGTGAAGCCAACTTCTTGCCGAATCCATATTTTTCTTCTCTTCTCTTGTCAACCATAAACTATTAATCTAAAAAGAAGAAAAACCCTAATATTTAAATCTAAAAACGAAACTAAAATAAAATACAAAAATTAATCGTTATGACAAGTTGAAATGTAATAAAACAATGAAACCGATCTCAAGAGTTTTATTTACTGTAAGAGATTCAACGTACCTGCGATCATCGTATCTGAAATTTAGAAAGAAGCAGAAAGATCGGAGATAAAGATACGGTTGCCTAGAAAAATAAAACGATCTGGAAAAAAAAAGAAAAAAAGATAGAAAACGTCGCGTTACCGTAGAAGCTTTGAAAGCGATCTGATCATATAGAAGACGAGAGATTGTTTATATAGCGCAAACTCTGTCATATATTCTCCATTTTTAGTAGGTTATTTTGTTTGTATATTTATTTAGTTGTATAGGGAATTGTTTACAAATGGTTATGATGTTGACGATGATCAATTAATTTAGTGGTTGTCTCTACTCCTTTTACGCACTAACTTTTCATTTTCAAAAAAGCTTCATTAACACACGAATGGTTATAATAAATCTATATTATAATAATACATTTTCTAGGTTCCACAACGCGCCACATCAGCAGTTTTGTGGGTCTCGTAGGTATTTTTAAAAAACTTATAATCTTGGTAAGATGATTACAAACAATGAAATACATTTTATCCAAGTGGTATAAGGTGTCTAATTAAGTATGCAAGATCGTGGGTTCAAACCAAGCAGCCATCATATTTATTTTTGATTTTTTTATTTGGGTTATTATCATATGGGCTTTTTGTTTGTAAGGTTTTTATGTTTTTTTTTATGATTTATTTGGATAAACCCTAAAGTTTAACGAGTATAAACCAAAAATAGTTAAAAATAGATGCAAAAATGAACAATAAAAAAACAAAAAAAAAACAAGTTTCACGCGGTTGCCTACGCGGATGGCTTTTTGTTTGTAAGGTTTTTATGTTTTTTTTTATGGTTTATTTGGATAAACCCTAAAGTTTAACGAGTATAAACCAAAAATAGTTAAAAATAGATGCAAAAACGAACAATAAAAAAACAAAAAAAAAACAAGTTTCACGCGGTTGCCTACGCGGATGGCTTAAAGAGCCTTAAAACTATCCTATTGTAATATAGTTCAACCCAAAAATAATAAAAAATGAATCCAAAAACGAACCGACCAAAAAAAAAAAAGTGAATCCCACGCGACTACCTACGTGGATGGCTTAGTGACGCTTGAATAATATAGATTAAGAGCTCAAAAAGTGAAATCATTGCACATATTTCCTACTATATATTTTCAAAAAATTTGTATGTGAGATAAAATAAAAAAACAACAAAAATTAATTATTTTCGTTATTTATTTAATGAATATGTAATTTCTCTTACATTTTAATAACTACTATAATTTCATTGAAAACATTCCTCACCACCGATTTCAGACTCCGGCGAATGGATCCCCAAGTCGATGACGCCGTAAATAAAAATGCCACATCATTTATGAACAAAACTCAAACTTACAAAAAAACATATATAAAAACCTATCTAATGAAACTTAAACAACGAATGTTAACTTATTAAGGTTATTTTCAAATTGATAAATCGTTTAATACAAATATAAATACTATAAATATAGAATTATATCAAGTTTTGACCTACGATATAAAAACTTTTTACGGCAAAAAAAAACACCTACTTTTACACACTAAAAACTATATTATAGCCTAACTATTCCTATAAACCTTACTTCGCATATAAATAACATTTAACTCATTCCTAATATATCTTCAAAAAATTTGTATGTGAAATAAAATAAAATAAACAACAAAATTTAAGTATTTTTCCTTATTTATTAAATGAATATGTAATTTCTCTTACATTTTAATAACTACTATAATTTCATTGAAAACATTCCTCACCACCGACTCCAAACTTCGGCGAATGGATTCTCACAGTCGATGACGCCGTAGATAAAAATGCCACATCATTTATGAACAAAACCCAAACTTACAAAAAACCATATATAAAAATCTATCTGATGAAACTTAAACAACGAATATTAACTTAATTAAGGTTATTTTTAAATTTATAAATCGTTTAATACAAATATAAATACTATAAATATAGAATTATATCAAGTTTTTTGACATACGATATAAAAACTATTTACAGAAAAAAAAAATAGACACCTACTTTTACACACTAAAAACTATATTATAACCTAATTGTTCCTATAAACCTTACTCGCATATAAATAACATTTAACACATTAGATATACAATATTTTCACTTTACACTCTTACAACATTCTTTCCATTTCATTATTATTTGGTGTCATTAAAAGAATCCACTAAATTACTAAATCGAAAAAAAAATATACACAAACATAATGATTCCAACCCCGCGCTTGTGCGGAGAGTATGCAACTAGTATGGAAAACATAGTGTTAGTTTATTTACGAACTAAAATAAATAAATAAGCCAAGAAGGAAAAGTTATGTTTAGTATTGCTCTAGTCTCTTGCTAAATCATGTGACTATGCCGTATGATGATATGTTTTTTTGAATAAATTAAAAAGTTCAAATAACTTAACAGAACTCATCACATTCAATTCAGTTTGCATGTATTCCAACACATATTTACTGGTTTAGTGAGACTAGAAACTCTCACTAGCATTTTGAGGCAACTGTTATTATATTTATATATAATGAATTGCGAATATAACAGCATATCTACATACTTGAAGAAACTATATACAATAATTAAATTTTAGGAAATATAATAATAATTAATTCTAAGCAAAAAACTTATACATCAATAAATACTATCATTGTTATTTTTCGGCTTGGGGGTAGTGGAGTTTGGAGAAAAGGAGACATCGAAGTGGAGATGAAAAGGAAATGAAAGTCGGATTAAATAATATCTTCTACTCCACTACTTAAGTTACCAACAGAATCTTTTTATAAGCATTGTGATGTTGAGATCTCAACTTAAACAAACTTCACGACATAACTCTTCGTCCCTCGTCGGCAACTAGATATATCACATTCATGTCATCACCCACTTTTTCCACATAAACTAATGGAATAACTCACCAAAAAAATACTCACAGAATGGCCAGATCCACATTTTGTTCCCAGTGATCAACATCAGTTGTTAGTAATCATCATTACATCCTAACATTTTGACACAACTGATTTTTTTTTCTGTTAATGATTGATAATCAGTTTCAATGAAAATAGTCCAGCACCAGTATTAAATGCATAGTACATATTCTTCTCATCTAAAATATTCCAGATCTGGTTCCCAAGATCAAGAGTATGTATTGCCCTTTTGTTACGAACAAGGCTTTACTAAAACCCCACACAAAGTATTACAACTGCACTTTTAGCAAAAAAAAAAAAAAGTATTACAACTGCAACCTTCGTATTATCCGGCCAAACTCCGATCAGTTTATCGTCTGTAACGATGTCGTTTAAAGTTGAAGTACAAGTGCAGAATCCCACGCTCAAACGTGCATTTGAAACCTTTCTTGTGAGAATACTCCCATTCTTTATTCACAATCCGGAACGCCTCAATACGAAAGCAATTTAATTATCACTATAACACAGAGAGGTGAAGATGAAAAAACAATATAGAGGTGACGGTTCTGAGTACTTACAATGTCTTCATAAGGCGGACCAGCATGGAACCGTATCATACAAGTTTCGGAGCTTGTCCCATCTTTTTCTATAGTGTAAGTGGGAGCATTGATCTTATCTACTAAATCTGGATAAAAGATGTTAAACTTGTACCCTTGAACGGTTTTTGGAGGCGGGTTATCGTGATCATAGTGAGTTTGGTTATACTTATTCCACTCGTAACCTGTGTGAACTCTGTTGAAGTACTTCGGTTTTCTTGGCCGGTACTTGTCATGCCACCAGTATACCTACAGAAGAAGAATTCGTTTTCAATATTCATCCTGGTAATAACAGAGAAGATTCGTAATAGACAAAAGAGGTACCTCAGAATCAAGGTTCACTTCAGCATTAGAGCTAAATACAGCATCACCTTCTTCCATTGGTCCCATTGCTTTCATTGCTTTAAACTCCAAATTTTCTTCCACAGGTGCTGGTTTTGAGACCATAGCTTCTTTGAGCCGTTTGTTCTGTTTCTCCAACACAACCTTCCGTTTCAATTCCTGTTATACTCATAATCATATTTTAGGTCAGTAAAAGCATCAACAAATCATGGGTAAAAGTGGACTGTAGGAACTGTAAAAGTGTACCAGTAGCTTCTTGTCTTCCTCGGGATCGATTGCTTCTTCACGATCATCACCATGCATGAGCTCTGGCGAAAACGAACCATCCGCTTCTGCTGCCATATCAGCTTCTTCCTCCTCTGGAATAGGCTCCGGAGAGAATGCTTCTGCAGCATCTGAAAGATTCATCTTGTTTATCTCCTCCTCGTTTCCTTCCACATGATTAACTTCTACTACGTCTTCTTCACCCTCTGAACGTTGCTCCAGGCGATGTAGATGTCTCCTTAGCATCTCAGCGTGTATTTCCTTCAAGCAAGCCTATTTGAACATCAAGATAGTCAGTGATTATGCAAAAAAATAGAACCTGTCTTCAAAATCTAACACCTCAAGTTCATCCACACGCAGATACCTTTGCCTTGTATATATCGAGGCGTTTGAGAACCGCTTCCCAATACTCTACTACTTTCGCTGTCCCAGAACGCAGCTGGGACTCGATGTCCAACTGCAGATCTACAAGCTCCGAGTGAGTCTTCCCATCAAGAAGTTTTCTCACGTCAGCTTCAACACCAGCGTGTAGTCCCCTCTCTTGAGCAAGCAATTCTGCAGGAGGCTCCTCCCCTCTAACTCTAGCTCGATCCAAGGCATCCCTTTTACGAGCTTCTGCTAACTCCCAATCGCATACCACAATAAGTGCCTGCCAAAGTTCAATGGTATTAAGTACACATGCTTACTCGCATGAATCATGCATGTATACGTGTATTAGCGTAAAACAAAGAAGAAAGAATGCTAATAACCCATCGAAAAGAGACAACATGAAGGTCCATAGAAGATATAAAATACTTCAAACGTATGAATCACCTCGAATGTCAAAAAATGAGACTTGTTAAAGAAAATACCTCCCAGTACTGTATGCGTGTTGGAGTTGACCGATCTGAATCTAGATACATTTTGATATCATCACGAAGCTCTTCCATATCTTTAACAGTGAGTCCCTGCATAATACATATCAGGAATACGTTAGATTTAGTAAAAAGCGTCACAACAATCTATAAAAAAAAACTCGCTTTGCTCACCAAAAGAGATACCCATAAAAGCTAACCAACATATATGTTATCTCGCATCTAACTTACTAATGGCTCAGAATTGCAGAATAACTTATCTAATCTCAAGCTTCTTACCCACCCTCCACAACCCAACAGGTTTCAAAGACTAAAATGGTTATAGAACTGAACTAGGACCGAGAAAGAATAGACTGAAGTGAAAAAGCTTATCATAACCTGAAACACAATATGGTTTTACCATCTAGCATAATATTTTAAATACCTTGAAAACCATGTAAGGTTCACTGAGCTCGATATCCATATCATCTGAACCATCCAAGTGCTTGCAGAGGACGTCAATTGGCTTCAGTCTTCCTTCACGCAATCTGATCTCTGATCTCACCTTGCTTTGATCGAAATGGAACTGCAGATCAAACAGATGTATAAACGAAAGGACGCCAAACAGATGTATACAAGAGGAATTAATTGCAAAACCAAAGAAAATGCAATTGTACCTCCTCCTCCTTCTTCTCCCAATCTTGAAACTCAGCTCGAGCACGTTCTCTAGCCAATAATGCCTGCAGAGAATAACAGAATGTTAAGTCGATAGCTATACAGTAATAACAAAATAAGAAAGCTAAATGGCTGGTACGAATTCAATCGTATGCATCCTCCTGCACCAAAAAATTAGTGAAAGAGATAGGCTTCCGTATAATTATAACATGAAACACAAATTTACCATTTCTTCCTCATGTCGAGCTTTCTCCACTGCCCTCTCTTCTCTCCTCTTCTTCACCTTTTCAACCTCTGTCTGCACATTCACAAAAGTGCTTAAGAAAGAGAAAAGAAATTCACTCCATCACACAAAATAATCAAAAACTGACAGCATCGAAAACATGAAAATCTCCTCTCCTCTGCTTTTTTTTTTTGTAATCATGAGCTTGTTATACTTACCATCCTTTCCACCCGTCTTCTCTTCTCAGCTTTTACAGAAAATTCATCCAACGGCACTCCATGGTGAACATCTTTTTCAATTTTCTTCCGCCACACAAATCTGAAATTAAAAGAATTCAATGTCATGTGAATGTGAACTGCAGACTCTTCAAAACAGGTTACTCACAAGTATTAACTGCCAATTTTAACAACTGTACGAATATAAAAAAAGGACGCCGCACGTTATAATTTTTATGTACTGTAATTTTAGTTATAACTAGGAATGAGCTATAACCTCCATAATCCTCCTACATCCTATTCTCTAATTTATACCAGTAAAATCCAGAAAATAATACTCCTCTACTATTTCTTAATAGTTATTCACTTACGTTTCAGTGAGATTCGAATCCCCGAATGGGTTTGAATCATTGGAGTACCCAGACACTGACTGAGTCTTCAGCTTCTTTGCTGCACGTAATGCCTACAAAGAATTTTTAAAATAGCATAAAGTTAGCAACACGTTCCAGCACATACAACAAAGCACGCAAACCAAATAACATATAAAATAATAAAACCTTCTTCTGGGCCTTTCTGGCCATATACTCCTTAATTTCTTCCTCTGAGGGCTTCTTAGACGAAGTTCTCTTCTTACTCTTCCGTCCACCATCGCTATCAGACGAATCATCGCTTGAATAATGGCGCCGACGACTGCTGCTGCTGCTACCTTTCCTCCTCCTGGAACTCCTCGGCGGGGACAAATCATCTGAACCGTCCGAATCAGAAGAGTAAGACTCGGATTCAGACTCAGATTCGTCTCTTCGCTTCTTCCGCTTCGCATATCTATCTCTGCTACTCTTACCATGAGAGCCCATAGTTAAAAAGTTACCCTCTGTCAAAAGATAACATTATTAATCAGTCGCTCCCCCCTTAATTTACCATAAAAACATTCAAAGAGAGTCCCGAAGCGAACACTGAACCCTAAGTAACATTCTTCATTACTCAGTTACGAAATTCCTTGAGAATTTTAAATTAACAAGACTGATGCATATAGGATTAGCAGAAACTAGCTAAATTAGAAACACTCAATTCCCAAGAAAACCAATCCAGATCATGCGATTCAGCTACGCGAAAATAAAAGCTCCTTTGCTAAGCAACTTTCACCACCAACAGTAAGGGGAACCTAAGCGAAACTATTGAGCTAAACAATAGCGTACAGAGAAGAGAGAACGCCATACCTAAAATCAGAAAACGAAGATCTGAAACCAGTGGCGGTTAGGGTGGTGAATAACGGTGTCTGCGTGACGCCGTGGCGAAGGCGCTCGAAACTTCTCCTCCCCTTGATAACTGAATCTAAAGGCTAATAATCTATATGGAAAACAAGGGGTAAGATTTAACGAATAATCTCTGGGGTATTTTCGTCATTCACGTGTCGGTTAAGTGAAAACCGAAGATTCCTACTAGTTTTTTTTTTTTTAAAAGAAAAAGATTCTACAAGTTTTTTTTTTTTTTTTTTTTTATCAAAAGATTCTACAAGTTAGTTACCAAAATACCAGAGATTTGGTTAAGTGAGAACCGGCCGTTGAAGAGACTTAACGACTGGTTAACAGAAACCAGGTTTGTTGACTTCGCCAACTATATGACTTTTATTTTTCTCTATTTGGAACATGTAACAATCTTCTCATTCGTAAACATATTAAAATCTCGAGGTCCAGCAGATGTAACAAAGATGAAAAAGAAAAGAAAAAATATTACAACAGGGAGTGTTGGAATATCAAAGAAGCACACATCAATTTAATAGTAAACATACATTATAGTAAAAAATAACTCAGGTTGCTGATTGTCTTGGTGTCTAGTGTCTTGCCTCTGATGTCTCTTGCTCTCAAGTCACAAGAAGATGAAGCCGGACGGGTCCAAGACCTTAGATTTCACACTCCTTTGTCATCAGAAAGCTGCCCAACCTGCAGCTCCTGATCCCTTTGTTGAAGGAAGATTCTTCTGCAGAGCGAGTACATTAAAATTCGTCGTTTTTGGTTAAATCAGATGCTATTAAGATGAAAAGGTTTGCTTACCTTGAGCTGAGATAGATCAGACAGAGGATCGTTACTGCGTCTTGTGTTACCCGTTGGTTCCTTAGAAACTTCAGATGCAATCCTTGAAGCGACAGGATCATTTGGTGGAGGAGGTAAAGGAGACCTGAGTTTTACAGCAGCATTTGGTGGTGGGGCAAGTGCTAGAGGTTTAGACTTCCCGTTCCCTGAAAGAGCAGCTGAGAGCATCCCAGTGCCACTTGTTGTTGGTTTGGGCTTCACATTGATTCTTATGGTTTCACCTTCCTTTAAACCCATCAAAAACAACGTTTCTTGTTAGATTCACTTCAGTCAATAAGAATTTTTGCTGCAGGTAGAGTTTGAAGTATAAAAAGAGAGGCCCTCCTCGTTTTAGGTAGAGAGTGATTCCACAGTTAAGTCCCAAAGCAGATAAACTAATATGAGCATAAACTCCACAAAATCAAAAGATCCACTATCTACAACTGAGAACGAATGCAGTACAAACTTGTGATCCTGCACCATTAATGAAGACTCAACGAGAAAAATGAGAACTTTTGCAGCATTCAATTTGATTCCACGACTTCAAACCCAGGACAGGACATTAAAAATCATGAGCAAGAAACTCCAGTCACATCAAAAACAATTTTTTTTTCTTTAAATAAAGACTATAGCCTAAGGGTCCGGTTGTTCATAGTGAGTATGAAGATTTACCAGAATATAAAAGTGGGACATCCTCTCGTTTGTGCAACAAAGTATAGATCAGAGACTAGCACACACTAGTCATTCTAATCTCAGCACAAACTATAAAAAATTACAGGGAAATTCTAACCCCGTGGCAATCTAAATACTACCAACTATACTAATAATTCAGTCTCAGTTCTCAATCTATTGCAAACAATGCATCAAAGATTTCCAAAGACGACATCTTTAAGCCTACGAACAAAAGCAGATCTACTTGCAATGCCAATGATGCTACAAAACGCATCTGAATGAATCAATTTCACCCTAAAAAATACTAAATTGTAGCAATCTAAATACCAATTACACTAATAATTCAATCTCAGATCTTACTCTATTGCAAACAATGCATCAAAGAAATCCCAAAACGCCATCTTTAAGCTTTACTAACATGAGCAGATCTACTTGCAATGCCAATGAGACGCTACAAAACGCATCTAAATGAATCAATTTCACATTAAATTTTACAGTTTCCTTTTCCATCAAGTGATCAGCTTAACGCATTGATCTCATCCGAATCCCAAAAGCATATAAACAGATCCGCTTTACCTTCAATCTATGATTAACAGCAGGATGAATATCAATATGATCATCACTCTCCCCACTCGTCTCCCCACTCTCCTTCTCCTTCTCCCTCCTCACATACTTCTCATGATCCGACAACGCCACATTGAAATCAAACGCCTCGTTCCTCTCCGCGAACCCCAACCCAATAAACGCATACTTCCCACGCCCGTCGTCGATCCTCAAAACGAAGTACCTCGACGAATCAAGCGACGGCTCCACGGAGTTCTCTCTCCTCGCCGGATCCACGAAACACGCCGCGAACAGATCGCCGGAGCTCGAGTCCTCGAGACGGATCTCGCATCGATCCTTGCACGAGACGACGCGGAGTCTCCCGGACCAGATCTTGTCGGATTGGAGCCACTCGCCGCATTTGTATCCGCCGGATGTGGTTCGCGGCGGGATCTTGTAGACGGAGACTTCGCGCACGACGAGGAGTGTGTGCTCGAATGTCTCTTCCTCTTCCGCCTCTTGTTGTTGATCCTCGAACGACATCGGATTACGCGGAGAGAGGAAAAAAAACTGTTTGACGTTTTGAGATGGAAGAGTTATGGAGAGAGACGTGTGTGAAGCTTTTGATGATCGTTTGCGGACTTTTGAAGCTTATACAAACCTTTTTTTTATTTTATTTCCTTTCTTAAATTAATTATTCTATGGCTTGATTAGTTATCCCGCCATCATCCGCAAACGCAGTTTTTACGGTTATTAACAGTTGTTTGCATTTTGCAATAATTATAGAAAACACTATAAATCATTTGAAATAGCTCTAAATCTTAAAAATTTAAAAGCAGTTCATGTTCGTGTTTACGGTTGCGAATAATTGCGGAAGAATAAAAAATATTTTCTATACTAGAAAACTATATAAATATTAAAATAAAATTTTAAATTAAAATAATTGAAATACCAAAATAATTATATTATAAAATTTCCAAAATAATATTTTCTTTAATTTTTTTAAAAAATTACTAGTAGTTTTATCGATAAAATGTTTATATTTATTATAAAAGTATAATTTAATATTTTGATAATTATATAAAATATGAATATTAACTTATTATTTAACCGTTGATGTAGTTGGTAATAAACCAGTCATAATTATCTCAGAAATGCAACAACTTTTAATCGCTGAACTAATCATCTAAATTTCTTACCAACACTTAAAATCGTAATCTCTTGCATCCGCAAACGTTCGCAACCGTAATTGCTTTGTAACCAGTCAAGCTTTTAATCATAGGAACCAACTTAAACACGAAACTGGTGTCGTTCAGTGGTTAAAAATTAATTAATTACTTTAATTATAGTAATCAAATTAATGAAACCGTGCGTTTAGTATCACACCGCCTTATGTTAAGGCCCAAATATAAACCGGGTTCTCAATATCTCTCATCCTGTTCGAGATTTTTTTTTTTTTAATCAACTTTTGTTTCCTCGCGGTTTATATTTTCTCTTTGTGGCCTGAGAGAAGTCGAAGCTTAACGATTAGATAACCATGGCGACGGCTTCAGGTATCGATTCTGTTAGATCTACTTGAAAGCTAGGTTCTCGATTTGGTTGTGAAATTTAATTTGGTGGCTACGAATCTCTGTTCTGATAATCTGATTTTGTAATCAGAAAGTTAGGGTTATTAGATTTTTCGTATTTTTTAATCAGAAAGTTAAGGTCTTCGGTGGCCAAGATTTGATTCAGAGTCTCTGATTTGATTTTTTGTTAGCTTTGGTGTTGTTGTTTGGTTAGGTTAGGTTCTATTATAGATACAGTCGCCAAGTTCTCTAATTTAGGGTTTACTAGTTTTGATTTTTGGCTAATTTATGTGAACTTTATACTAATCTTGTAAATTTTGTGATTATTAATGTTTACTGACATGTTCATTGTTTTTTTGTTTCAGTTGCTTTCAAGTCTAGGGAAGACCATAGGAAGCAGATAGAGTTAGAGGAGGCACGTAAAGCCGGGCTTGCACCAGCTGAAGTAGATGAGGATGGAAAAGAAATCAATCCTCACATTCCTCAGTATATGTCCTCTGCTCCATGGTATCTCAACTCTGAGAAGCCGAGTCTTAAGCATCAAAGGAAATGGAAGAGTGATCCCAATTACACTAAGTCATGGTATGACAGAGGTGCCAAGATTTACCAAGCTGAAAAATACCGCAAGGGAGCATGTCAAAAGTATGTAAAAATGGTTTTTTTTTTAGTTTTGAATTTGTTCAAGTTTCTAACTTTTTCCCGTTTTTTTTTTCTGAAGTTGTGGTGCGATGACGCATACTGCTAAGGCGTGTATGGATAGGCCTCGGAAGATTGGAGCAAAGTACACGAACAAGAACATTGCACCTGATGAGAAAATCGAGAGTTTTGAGCTCGACTATGATGGCAAGAGAGACAGGTGGAATGGGTACGATCCTTCGACTTACCATCGTGTGATTGACCTTTACGAAGCTAAAGAGGATGCACGGAAGAAGTATCTCAAGGAGCAGCAGATTAAGAAACTTGAGGAGAAGAACAATAACCAGGAAGGTGAGGATGCAGCAGCCAGTGATGGAGACGAAGAAGAGGATGACTTGAGGGTCGATGAAGCTAAGGTTGATGAGAGCAGGCAGATGGACTTTGCAAAAGTTGAGAAACGTGTTCGAACTACTGGTGGTGGTAGCACAGGAACTGTAAGGTATGGACTACTCTGTTATCGCATATGTGTATTTGGGTGTTTTTATTTGTTGCGCTAATGGTGTAAACCTTTTCTTAACTTCAGGAATCTGCGTATCAGAGAAGACACCGCGAAATACTTGTTGAACCTTGATATCAATTCGGCTCATTATGACCCTAAAACTCGATCCATGCGTGAAGACCCACTTCCAGATGCAGATCCAAATGATAAATTTTATTTGGTTAGTTGTAGTTTATCGTTATCGTTATTGTATCTCATATTTTGATAATATAAGATACTAACCATGTTTTTGCTTACCATCTGTCCAGGGAGATAATCAATATAGAAACAGTGGCCAAGCTTTGGAGTTCAAACAGATGAACATCCACTCATGGGAAGCATTTGACAAGGGACAGGACATGCATATGCAAGCTGCTCCATCCCAGGCTGAGCTGCTCTACAAGAATTTCAAGGTTGCGAAGGACAAACTGAAGACTCAAACAAAGGACACAATCATGGAGAAGTATGGGAATGCTTCTACAGAAGATGAAATTCCAATGGAGCTTTTACTTGGGCAGAGCGAAAGACAAGTTGAGTATGACCGAGCAGGGAGGATTATAAAGGGACAGGTATGGTTTATGATGGTTTACTTCACGAATTACCTTTCATCATGTGGTATGTTTTGCTTTTGTGTGGATTCATTTCATTATTAATACGTGTTTGGTACAACAGGAGGTTATACTGCCAAAGAGCAAATACGAAGAAGATGTTCTTGCTAACAATCACACTAGTGTTTGGGGCTCATGGTGGAAAGACCATCAATGGGGATATAGATGTTGCCAGCAGACGATTCGCAATAGTTACTGCACAGGCGCTGCTGGTATTGAGGCTGCAGAGGCTTCCCTTGATCTGATGAAGGCTAATATTGCTCGCAAAGAAGCCTGTGAAGGTATGTGTTGTTGACCCTGTTTGCTGTCCCTGTTTCTTTTTTTTTTATTGGATTGGTTGAAAAATTACTCTTGGTGTTTATGATACGTTTCTGCATATGTTTTGTAATGTGCTAACAAAACAATGAATGGTGTTTTGGTGATCAGATATCCCAAAGCAGGTTGAAGAGAAGAGAATGGCCGCATGGGGAACCGATGTTCCTGAAGATTTGGAATTGAACGAGGAAGCACTTGCTAATGCGCTTAAAAAGGTAAGATGGCCGTAGACTCCGTTCATATTCCTCTTCTGTCGAGACGTTTTTATGTCTTGCTGAGTTATCTGATACACATACAATAATGTAACAGGAGGATGAGCGTAAGAGGGAAGAAAAAGATGAGAGGAAACGCAAATACAACGTCAAATACACCAACGATGTAATGATCTTTATCACTCTAATTAGGATAGCATCGACTCATATTCTTAAATTGTGAACTGTTGCTAATCATAATCTCAACATTTTCATCGCAGGTGACCCCGGAAGAGATGGAAGCTTACAGAATGAAGAGAGTTCACCACGAGGACCCAATGAAGGATTTCATGTGAAAAAGAAAAATAATGTTTCTAGTTTCTCTCATGTATTACCTTTTTAATCCAAAGAAACCTTATTACATTTTCCTCTGTTTACTCGCGACACTTGTGGTTGAAATAAACTAAAATGTTGTCACTTAATCTTTGTGAAAGTTTGGCTATAGCTAGTTGCATCCTTGTTTATTTCATTTATACTGGAAGTCTAGCTAACATCATATCATAGGAAGCTAAACCTTAAGTGACTCTAAATATGATTTCAATGCACCTCGTCGTGCCAATTAATAGAGATATAGAAATTAAAGGAGAAAGTTTTTAGTTATGATTTTATTCAGTAAAGTGTTACATGCAACAAGTCAACGATCGCTTCTATACGACGTTCGTTGTTGTACACTACTCAAAAACAAAACAGTTGCCTTAAAAAAGCGTTGAACTTCCTTTTGTACATTATTTTTATCATACCATACAAAACAGAACATTCAAACGCTGTTACATTACTAACTCATTCTTCAAGCCTCGACCCTTGGGCTTCCACGTCCCATAGGACCACTGCTATGAGTCAATGTAGTCTCAAGGGTGTTAAACTTAACACGTCTAGCTTCTTCGGGTGAGATCTGATACCCATTTGATATAACCTCAAGTGGTAAACCTCTCATCACTGAGGTACGTCCCGCGAGTGTGTTGATCTGTGCGTTCTCGTTGCTCTTGAATTCGATCCACTGGAATTGTTCGCCTGTGGCACGTTTCACGACAGAGAAGCCTTGTGGCACGACAAGTAACTGTCCCTGAGAGAGCTCTTGGTCGAACACTCTTTGTCCGTTGTCATTAACCATCTGTATATGAGCCTGTCCCCTTGTCACGTAGAGTGCCGCGTTTGCGTTCACGTTCCATTGCGGCAACACCATAGCGTTCTGCGTTATTTATCCAAATTGTAAAAAAAAAAAATATAATGTGTCATTTAAAATAAAAGTTTCTTGTTGGTTACGTTACGGATGGAGCCACGAAGAGCACTAAGGCGGAGATGTCTGAGGATAGGGAGGTTGTAGCTGTTGAGTGTGCTGATGTAACCGAGCGATGGCTTGTACACGTCAGCACTTGACGGGTCGTCAAGGTTTTCGGTGCATCGCATTGTGCAGAAAGTCTCCTCCAAACCATTACTTTCTTCCTGTGGTTGTTGACCGCCTTGGCCTTGTCTCATGGGTGGTCTAATGACTCCGAAATGACCTTTAACCCTGATGATGTTGCCGAGGTTTTCTTGCTGGTTCTGGAGCTGTTGAGCTGTCTCGACAGAGATTTTAAAGGCTTGAGCTAAGATCTCAGGTGCGAAGCCATTGAAGATGTTGTTTTGTTTCTGTTGCTGTCGGCCTTGTAGCCATGCCTGCCCTTGTGGGTTGTTTCCAGCTAACAAAAATGGCTGTATAGAGTAGTAAACACAAAAT